AAACGCGCCAAAGCCCGAAACTGAAAGCGAGACGTGACTTTTAAGGGACTGTTTCATATGGATTTATTAATCATTCTTACTGTTCAGTGAACGCAAACTGCCGTCGTTTATTAAAGACGCAAACTCTTCACTTCACGACAGCTGCGCGCCTTCAGCAGACCTCCTCATTCCTGCAGCACGAGAGCTTTATGATTGTTTATGAGCGCCAAAAGTGGCGGATCTGTTCGGCGAAATATCTGACTGCGTGTCACCGCATCCCTAAGGGCTGTTTGGCGAAATATTTGACGGCATATCAACCGACTGAAACGATATAACTAGAGAAATCTCCACTGTGCTACTGAGAGAGAGATGTAAGCGTGTCGAAGCCCGTTTGTGGTGTGAGTGGGGGCCGTCGGGGGACACGGGAGGGGGGACAAGCGTGCTTTGGCCCGGTTCGAGGCAACTGTACCTAGTGTGAGTACGGCCTTATATGCTGTCGTGTCATCACTTATATTGCAAGTCATATCTCTCCAGACCCATATTTGGGATGCTTTTCATGAACCGGCCCCCATGACAAACTAATTGAATAGCCCTGCACTAGAGCAAAACAGACAGCAAAATGGGATAATGCAAGTTTGCGTACTCCTGGTTGGAGAAAGACGAGTTTAAACAGTGGCTGAAACCTGTCGCTGAAAACAACCACGTAATTTATTCTCTCAAGGTTTGTTTCCTCCGAGCTTATCTGAGATCTGTTGCACGGTTGTGCTCCATTGATTTATTTAACTACAACTGTTTATTAAGTTAAAGGTTTGATACTGATTAGAACTTGAAGTGGTGACGAGGCCTTAAATTAGGGGTCACCAATCTCAGTCCTGGAGGGCCGGTGTCCCTGCAGGGTTTAGCTCCAACTTGTCTCAACGCACCTGCCTGGATGTTTCAAGTATATCTAGTAAGAGCTTGATCAGCTTGTTCAGGTGTGTTTGATTAGGGTTGGAGCTAAAATCTGCAGGACACCGGCCCTCCAGAAACAAGTTTGGTGACCCCTGCCTTAAGATAAAGCCCCACCCCCAACTCAATATTCTGTTTCAGCTGGAAATAAAAGTCTGCAGAATCTTCCTGTGCACACTGACTTTAAAGGGGACCTATTATGCTAAATTTAAACAGTTGTGTGGCAGCAGTGTGTGAATATAATCATCTTCTAATGGTAAACTGACTTGATAAAAACACTTTGATTGACATTCTCCCTTTGTACGTGTCATCAGAGGATGAAAGCCCCGCCCACTAGTGACCATCTCTCCCTCATCAGCATAGGACGTTAGTCTTGTTTCTGAATCTGCCACTATGCTGGCACAGGGGCATTTGTAGCTCCGCCCTCTTCTGAAAAAGAGCACAATCTCATTTGAATTTAAAGCGACAGTCACCAAAACACCACAATAAGGATCAAAACCTAAAAGTGTCAGTTTCAGAGAGTTATAGATATTATTGGTGTGGTGTTTTGAGCTGAAACTTCAATACACACTCATTAAAGTACATCTTGTAAAAAGAGCATAATACGTCTCTTTTACCACACAGCAAATTAATAGCTTATTTGGACAAAAGTCTCAAGGTAATTGTTTGCTATTGAACCTAAAATATAAAGCGTGAGCAGGGAAATCATGCATTTCTGTCCATTTCTTCTAGGATGTCTTCAGGCTGACCAATGGGAGCTTGAGTCTGGGCGAGCTGGAGTTTTCCACCCAGTTCTGTGTGGTCGCTCAGGCCCAGTCTGAGTCTATCCCGCTGTCCTACATACCCAGCCAAAAGCAGTGCGTCCACACACCCAAAGGTACCGCCATAATCACCTTCATCAGCCCAAGAAGCATTCCTGTGCTTTCACTTTCACATCCAACCGGTTTGATCAGTGTGAGCGACATGACAGGTCGAGGAAACCTTTGAATTCTTATCATCGGTGCTGGTGTTTTCCCAGCGTGCTCTGAGCTGGACTTCCTCATGCCTGAGAGCTGGTTTACAGTCTTCATGTGTGTGCTGGGTGTTAATGTGTAAACTGCTGCGCCCTGTTGCACGCAAGCCCTCAAGCTAAAAAAAAAAGAGCTTTAGCGATAAGCAGACCCACACAGAATCACAACACACCGAATTTTGAGCTCATCACTGAGTGTCTTTGTTGACTTATTTAAACGTGTAAATAGATGATGATACATTTATGACGGTATCAGTCATTTTATTAACTAATATGCAAATATCTGTATTACTTATTTACAATACAGTTTGTAATCTAATATTTTATATTTAGTAGATTTATTACACGAGAGATTTGCTTTGTTTACCAAACATTCATTCATTTTCCCTCGGCTTACTCCTGTGGTTATCAGGGGCCGCCACAGCGGAATGAACCAGCATATGTTTTACACAGTGGATGCCCTTCCAGCTGCAACCCAGTACTGGGAAACACACACACACACACACTCATTACGGCCAATTTAGTTCATTCAATTCCCCTATAGCGCATGTGTTTAGCACCCAGAGGAAACCCACGCCAACATGAGAAGGATATGCAAACTCCACACAGAAATGCCAACTGACAGCCGGGACTCGAACTAGTGACTTTCTTGTTGTGAGGCAACAGTGCTAACCACTGCGCCACACATTTACCAAACAATCATTCATTCATTTTCTTGTCGGCTTAGTCCCTTTATTAATCCAAGGTATCCACAGCGGAATGAATCGCCAACTTATCCAGCACATGTTTTAAGCAGCGGATGCCCTTCCAGCTGCAACCCATCTCTGGGAAACATCCACACACACATACACTACTGACAATTTAGCCTACCCAATTCACCTGTACCGCATGTGTTTGGACTGTGGGGGAAACCGGAGCACCCGGAGGAAACCCATGCCAACACAGTGAGAATATGCAAACTCAGCACAGAAATGCCATCTGACCCTGCCAAGGCTCAAACCAGCGACCTTCTTGCCATGAGGTGACAGTACTACCCACTGCACCACCACACTGCCTAGTTAGATTAAAGTTAAAAATATTAAGTAAAAAATTTCGCATAAAGCCACAAATTTTTATTTATTTAGAAATTTCTGCACAGAAAGAGAAATCTGGGAACATTTTTCTGCTCTTTCTGCACTTAATTTTGTTTAAAAAAAATGAAATAAATTATATATATTTTTTTTTTTATTTTTTATTTTTTTTACCTTAAGCTAAAGGTATACAACGCAAATCAAATTCAGTAAACAATCAAGTCTCATATCATACATCTACTTGTTTTTTTTTACTGAAAGCATTCTGTGTTTCTGTCCTGCTGCAGACCCGTTCAGAGATCAGCTGCTGGCTGCCATGCTGGGCGGTGTGCTGCCGTCTGCCCTCTGTCTGTGTGTGATGGCTGTGCTCGGGGCTCTCATCCGCTGCTACATCACTGACCACAGACAGAAACTGCCCAAGAGCACAGTAAGAACAGCACACACACACGCACGCACACGCATGCACGCACACGCATGCACGCACACGCATGCACGCACACACACACGGTTTACAGGGACACAGGATACAGTAAAGACCACTTATTATATGGCTTTGCTTCACCCCTTACCTTAAACTCATCCTGCACAGGCAAATTTGATAAAAATAAGAGCTCGTTAAACATAATCTTTAAGCATTTTCATTAAAGGGACACAAGGTGTGTCCCTGTAAACCAGCTTAATGTAGTACAACTAAGTCATAACCATGTCATGCAAATTTGTGTCCCTGTAAACCACATACACCTGTATACATGCACACACACACTTTCTTAGACAAACAAACCACAACATTTAAAAAACTGATAACTAGGCCCAGACAGAATCTGCCACTACAGAACCACCCGGAACACCCGAGCAACCGTCTAGCAATGCCTTAGCAACCACCTAACAATGCCTTCGCAATGACCTAGAACACCATAGCAACGCCATAGCAACTGCCTAGCAATCACTCAGAACACCTTAGCAACCGCCTAGCAACACCCTAGCTAGCATCTAGCAACGTCTTAGCAACACCATAGCAACCACCTTGCAACACCATAGCAACTGCATAGCAACCACTCAGAACGTCTTTGCAACCGCACAGCTACGCCTCAACCACCTAGCAATGCCTTAGCAACCATCTAGCAACCAATTAGTACAAACTACCAACCATCTAGAAACAACCTAGCAACCGCCTAGCAATTCCTTAGCAACTACTCAGAACACCCCAGCAACGCCTAAGCAACTGCCTAGCAACCACCTAGAACACTCCAGCAACACCTTAGCAATGACCTAGAACACCTTGGCAACCACTCTGAATACCCTAGCAACCGCTTAGCAACACCTTAGCAACCACTCAGTACACTCCAGCAACACCTTAGCAATGACCTAGAACACCTTTGCAACCGCATAGCAACCACTCTGAATACCCTAGCAACCACTCAGGACACCTTAGCAACCGCAAAGCAATGACTTAATAACCAGGCAAAACATCCTAGCAACGCCCTAGCAACCACTCAGAACACCCTAGCAACGCCTTAGAAACCACCTTGCTACCACTTTAAACAACCTAACAATGTCTTAGCAACCACTTAGCAATGCCTTAGCAACTATCTGGCAATCACTCAAAGCACCCTACAAACACCTTAGCAACGACCTAGTTTGCAACCGCCTAACAATACCTTAGCAACCACCTAGCAACCAAATCAGAACACCTTATCAACCACCTAGCAACCAATCAGAACACCCTAGCAACACCATAGCAACTGCCTACCAATACCTTAGCAACCACCTAGCAACCAATCAGAACACCTTAGCAACCACCTAAAACACCCTAAGATGCCTTAGCAACCACCTAGCAACGCCTTAGCAACCATCTGGCAACCATTAAAAGCATCCTAGAAACACAATAGCAATGACGTAGTACACCTTTGCAACCGCCTACCAAAACCTTAGCAACCACCTAGCAACCAATCAGAACACCCTAGCAACACCATAGCAACTGCCTACCAATACCTTAGCAACCACCTAGCAACCAATCAGAACACCTTAGCAACCACCTAAAACTCCCTAACATGCCTTAGCAACCGTCTGGCAACCATTAAAAGCATCCTAGTAACACCATAGCAATGACCTAGTACACCTTTGCAACCGCCTAGCAAAACCTTAGCAACCACTCAGAACACCCTAGCAACCACTAAGCAACACCTTTAAAATTGGCAGGTAGTGTAAATCAAATGTTTCCCAAATGAATGAAGCTCACTGCATCTCTCAGAGGAAATCTGTTTAACGCTGCACTTCTCTCATTTCAGCAGCTGGTTCAACTGAGCGAAAAGCTTCAAACGTTCAAACCAGAGGTTCCTCAGACGGTCATCTTTAACATCAAGCTGGATGATTCCTCAGTGCTGCGTCCTGCTCTGCCGCTGCCGTTCTCTGTTGAAGACTCTTCAGAGGAGCCTGTGAACGCCGTCCCGCAGCCGGCCGGATCATACGCTCAGCAGCAGCCTCTGCCCCCGGCCGGGCCCGCTTCCCTTTCAGGAGATCTGCAGGACGGAGATTCGCTGAGTCTGGACTCTGAGCCGCTAGCAGACCATCACAGCGAGGCTGGAGATTACGCTTTCGTCATCCGGGCTAAGGTTGACCACAGTGAAGTCGAGGTCAGCCAGTACAGGACACAAGGCCACACGGCAGACCCGCAAGACCACCATATTGAAGAGGAGGCGCAGATTTTCGTGGACTGGAGCCCAGAGTCTGGAGAACTGAAAATCCCTCTCATGGGTTTGCTGGGTCTGGAGGACGAGTCGGGGGTCCAGACTGAAGCGGTTTCACTCCTGCCCAACCTGATCCTGACGCAGACCTCGGTGGACGGCTGCGAACAGGAGGACGATTTCAGCATGATGGAGCGAAACTGGGGCCTCGTAATCCACTCCAGCCCTGAATGAACACCGTAACGCCACTGAAGCCATGTCCACACCCTCATGAGCACTTCACAGAGTTCCCCTCATTTGCAGATTATTTTGCTTGTTTTAAGGAAAACACTCTTATTACTGGCATATTATTTCTGAAAACAGGACAGTATGTTTTGCTCGTCTAGAAAAAGCTTCTTGATTTAAGACTTTTTAGATATCTGGACTAGAAACAAGACTAAAACTAAGTAAGAAGTGTGAGGAAATCACCTTTACGGTGTACGAATGAGGCGATATAATGAAGGATTGTGATAAATAATGAAGGATTCTCAATAGACCGTTTCTGCTTGAGCTGACTGCGAATATGAGACTCAAGCAAAGACCTTCAGCTTCAGTATTACACATCATTTACTGAAAAAAGACGTCCAAAACCTGAAGCGTTCAAAGCTGCTGTGAAGCTCAGCTTCGTTGGCTTTTAGTTGCGGAAGTGTGTTTTGACAGCAGGGGTCGCTGTTCCAGCAGATGAAACACACAATATTTGATTGAACACCTCTATTTTGCACAAAGAATACTGAAATATCTGTGATGGTCAAACCTTTGCTGCTTGCTTAGAGCCATATCTCTGTGACTGTCAGTGATTTTTCTAATGGAAATGCCCTTAATACCTTAATAGTGGACAAATTAATCACAGTTCATGAACATTAGAAACACGAGACAGCGCAACACTACTGAACAAACCTCTGTTTTTATCCACGGATGAAGTTTAAAATGGTGTGTGTGTGTGTTGAACGATGTAAAAAAAATAAAGAATTAGTTTGAGTCTTGGAAGGAGTTATTTTATACAGTGTTGTGTGTTTAAACTACACCAAATGCTTACTTTTATATTGAAGTATTAATGTATGTGGTTGTGAGTGAATTATGTGGACGTTTCTGTGATGATGATTGTGAAAATAAGAGCTTAACTCTTTCAGCTGCAGGTTTACTTCTATTTTAATCACTACATGTCTGTCAGTTTTTGATCCGACAAAACAATAAATCTTCGAACTTTGAGTGTCTTTAATTAAATCACATCCACACTAATGCATAGGCTTACACACTAGCACAGGGGTTCTCAAAGCTGGGGGTGTGAAGATACAAGATGTGCAGCACCTGAAACTACGGATACTGGAAGCCTGTGCTGGCATTTCTCCTGTGGTGTTGCTATCAGTGTGTGAAGAGGCTTGCATTGACGATCCAACACAATGGGCAGCACACTGAACACACTCTATAAGTGGTCAGAAACTCGTAAATAACTCATGAAAGAATAAAGTTACGTTAAATCCAAGCGCACCATTGATTTTCTTGTGAAATTCCCAAGAAGTTTGACGTGTCACATGACCCTCTTCCTATTGAAAAAAACAAAAGTTGGATCCAAGATGGCCGACTTCAAAATGGCCACCCCCCATTTTGACAACTTTGCCCCCTCACATATACTAATGTGCCACAAACAGGACATTAATATCACCAACCATTCCCATTTTATTAAGGTAAATCCATATTAATGGCACACCCTGTAGATTTATTTAAGGGGGGAGTGTGTGGTGGTCTCGTCTTCCATTTTTTTGTCCTCGGCTGATCACATGCCTGGTTTATAAATTAACTTAATGCAAGTAACATCTGGATACATGACAGAAATGTAAATATATGGTTTCATTATTAACAGACAGATCACAGAGTCTGAACAGGAAGAGGAAAAGCTCCAAAAACTGGAATCAAAACTCTTTATTTGTCCAAAAATGCCATCGTATGTGACAGAGCGAGCACACTAACAAGATTTACTCGAATCTACAAACACAAGACTTTTTTTTTCCTTAAAATGGCAACAGTAAATGTAAAATAGCGACAAGAAGCTAAATGTGTGTGTGTTGAAGGATTACACAGTGCTGCCTCTTGAATCAGGCTATATGAACACACACACACACACACACACACACACACACACACGTATGCAGATATATATATTTTTTGTTTGAGTCCATATATAAATCTGCGTGTATGTGTGTGTTTGTCCACATATGCGTGCTCCTGAATGGGATGCCAGACACACAAACACTGGTGCATGTGTATCTGTGTGTCTGTATGCATGTGCACCGGCTCTTAATGGGCTGTACACACTCACAAACGTGTACAAATATCCGTGTGTGTCCACGTGCCAGCTCATAAATGGGCTTTATACACACACACACACACACACACACACACACACACACGTGCATATATCCGTTGTGTGTCTGCATGACATCTTCTAAATGGGCTGTACACACACACACACACACACACACAAACAAACATGTATATACATATATATTGGTGTGTGAGCACGGTGGCTCCTGCATGCTGCTGCTGTCCCGTGTGCAGATCACCTGCGTGTGGATCGGGCCTCCTCCAGGATCTGCACCACCAGCCGGTTCTTCAGGCTGCGCAGCTTGCTGTTGTAGTTCTGCTGCAGGACGGCGTGCAGCCGCTGGCGGAGGACGCTCAGACACGGAGGAGCGCTGCAGTCCGACACGTTCAGCAGCGTGTGGAAGAAATCCTGCCAGAGATCAGCGTGAACGTTCCTGACACACAAACACAAGAGCATTAGGGTCATCTCGCGGCCCTCCTCAACAACTCGTCATCAGCATGTGTGCGTGTGTGTGTGTGTTTTACCTTTTAAAGACTCCATTTGTCCTCCAAACATCGCCTTCCTGTTTGACTTCCATGTACGTCCCAAACAACATACAGTAAACCGTCCCTGCGATCCCGAAATAATCGGTCTGCAGGAGAGAGAGCAGACAACAAACTGAGCTGGACGGAGGACCACAACCTCACGTTTAACTTCAGTATACAGACCATTTCACAGCGAGAAAAAGGTAGGCATTTTCTAAGTGTGACCGTTTTAAAGTCGTGTCGTGTTTTAGTAGCAGTGTGTTCATCTTGAGGACATCTATAAGCTAGTGTGCTAAAAAAAACAATAGAAACCTCCAAAGCCGCCTGAATGCATCCGTGACTTTTGACGTCAACTCGTAGTTCAGTTTCTCATCAAATCTTCTGACCAATCAGATGCTCTCTAGTGTCTGGCATGCCCCGCCCCCTTCTCATTTGTTGTTCATTTGATGCACTTGAGTTGGGTTTATATTTACATGCTTTGTTTTTATATATATTCTAATAACTGATGTATTTTATCTTTGTCATGATGACAGTAAATAATATTAGACTTGATATTCTTCAAGACACTTCTATACAGCTTAAAGTGACATTTAAAGCCTTAATTAGGTTAATTAGATTAACTAGGCAGGATAGGGTAATTAGATAATATATTGTATAATGATGGTTTGTTCTTTAGACTAATCGAAAAAATAATAGCTTAAAGGGTCTAATAATATTGTCCCTAAAATGGTTTTTAAAAAATTTAAAACTTTTATTCTAGCCAAAATAAAACAAATAAGACTTTCTTTGCTCTGTTAAACATCATTTAAGAAATATTTAAAAAAGACAACAAAAAAAATCAATGGTGAGCTAATAATGTGACTAACTGTGTGTATATATATATACACACACATATATACACACACACATATATATATATACACACACACACACACACACACACACACACATATATACACACACACACACACACACACACACACACACACACATATATACACACACACACACACACACACACACATATATATATATATATATATATATATATATATATATATATATATATATATTAGGGGTGTCAAAATCAATTGTTTCTTCGATGCACCGCGATGCAGACGCAGACAATTTGGTATCGGTTCAGTAATAATCATACCTGGTTATTATGTACTGACGTCATTTATGTCATGCACTATGTTGCCGTAGTTTACTATGGCGAGGGAGGCAAGCGTGAGTATTTACAATGCTCCAACTACTTAAAAACGCAGAAACTACGCACAATTTGACTGCATGTGTGTTTGCTGGACAGTCTTTCAACGACACTAAACAGCAGAAGCCCCTATTACACTGCGACTGAGAGAATGAAAGTAAACTTCATTTCTTTCTCTCTCTCTCTCTCTCATTGTGGCCTGTTTGTCCTGCTGGCGTGACCTTTGCTCTCGGCTGTTACAGCGACACTTCTGCAAACAGACACAAGCACGTGTCTGCAGAGATTTCTCCACTGCGTCTATCATGGATCAGCTGTGATCGCCGCTGCTGTTTATCAGTGTCACTCATCTGTGAATGAGCCAATCGCAGCCCTTTCTGTTGAGGCGTGACCAATCAAAGTGGGGTAAGAAAGAACTTACAAGACAAGGCTCAGAAAGCGAGCGGGATATTTATTTTTGTTTATTTACTATAAATGCTCGTGTTGTTTAAAGGTACAGTTTATATATTTGACTGCATTAAAGGACAAAATTGTGTTACAGAAGGTATATAAATATATTTATACATTTTAACACAAGAATTGCTGCTGTTAAGAATTTAAAACTGTGTATGGAAAGCACCGTGATGCACAGAGATGCACCAAGACATCGAATTGAACCGAATCAATGGCATGATAATCGTAACCGAACTGAACCGTGAGACCAGTGTAGCTTCACACCTCTAATATATATGATATATGTGATTTTTTTCCATCGCTATCCTTGTATTTTTAAGTGTAAAGTATTAAGTTTTAAAAGAGCTCTACAAAAATAAAGTATTATTATTAATCTTTACATCAGTGGTCAATAAATATATTTCGTTTTCAACATGGATGATAACTTGAACACCACACAATCACACTAGAGTGATTTCCAACAGATCATATAACACTGAAGACATGGTTCATGGATGAGTGGTTCAGATGGGACTGATGTTACCTGGTAGGTCCAGGGTCGGCCGCTCAGCATCTCCACGCACTGGAAGCCGGAGGTCATGCATTTGGCCGTGAACGCAGTGCCTTCCGGGAAGAGTGTCATGTCGATGCTCTGGCCCAGGTCGATGAGAGCCAGGCCATGCTGCAGGTTTTCCTGGTCAAAGCAGTCGTTCTCCAGAAACCTGAACACAGCATTCATGCAGGCGTTTAATACTCTATATTAATTCATTACAAACTTTACAGGTGCAACATTTTCCGGCAAGTGTGTCCAAGTACATCAGGGTATAACAGGAATCAGAGTTATAGTCCGCATGAACTGGAAGCTGTGACAGACTTTTTTCATATTGTAATGCAGTTCCAAGAGAAACAGAATATTATATGAGAAAACAGTGGGCGTGGCTTGTTTTTCTCCTGCGAGCTGATTGGATGTAGTAAAGTAGGTGTTTTATTCAGAAAGATGGGGAGAAGGGTTTGGGGAGAGTTACTACAACCTAACAGACTCCTCCTGCTCACCATACCAGTTTGTTGTCTAAATCAGTGGTTCTCAAAGTGGGGGTCGGGACCCCCCAAGGGGTCGCGAGACAATGAAGGGGGGGGGGTCGCCTGGTGATTTCCAAAAATCTATTTATTTATATTAAACCATAAGAATTACCATATTTTATCAATAAACTACTGAAGAGAAAAATTGTTGTTTATAGTTAATATATACTATATAGTTACTACATTAGCTTATAGTTACTAGTTCTATTGGATTGCGACCCCTGGTGTAATTACATAATTTTAAAGACACACCAATGGCGTCAGATGCAGCAGATTGATTTTATAATATCAGGGTAAACTTTCTGGCACATTTACAACTCTGATTTACATTAAAAAAAGATTAAACTAAGAATAAACTTGGGTCTATTGGTGTGTGTGCGCTATTGCATGCAAGGTTTCTGTATATATCACCTCAGAGGATATTGGGGGTCGCGAGTCACTAGCATTGTTATTTTGGGGGTCGCAAGCTAAAAAGTTTGGGAACCCCTGGTCTAAACTGACAGCTAGAGGGGCGTGGTTAAGTATGTTAGCCACGCCCAATACCTCAGACAGACCTAATCTGAGAATTTAACTGAAAACAAACAGGAAGTGCATTTTCAGATTTCAGTTAAAGATTACAAGAGCAAACTTGTTTTTTTTCTTC